CATACATTTTACTTTCCTTTTTTATTTCAATTACAACTTTGGTCATGAAGAATATGTTTCTCTGTTGTCCACGTTCATAAAGCATAAAACAACAGCATCAGAGCACGGCACGAGTCTATAGATGAGTTTACAGTAATCCCTCGTTCTTATTAAACATCCATGTTGTAGTCCGCGGTATAGAACACTGTAGTTTCCATAGTTTCACCACAGCAGCTGACGCACACAATGACGTCCGCTGGCGCATCATAAACACGTCAGATAGTGAAAGTGCATTCGGATTCTCCTAAGTCCTTTTGAATTCTCCTATCCACTATCCCTTAACCCTGTGACGTTTCACTCAGAGGTCAAGGAATAGGAGATAGGGTTAGAATTTAGGAGCTGATTTTTGGATTATCGGAACGCAACCTCTGTCTGTTACTTTAAATGCTAATGAGCTGCTGCTGGCCACGCCCCTCTGAGAGATGATTGGTTTAAAAAAAAAAAACACAGTGGTGCTCCAGGAGGAGATTCAGGTGATAAGGGGGGGGGTTACCTTGGTTGCTGATTGGCTAATGGTTACACATGCCAATAACATTGTGACATCACTAAGTGGCCATTATCACGTTGTATTGTCTCTGCCTTCTTTTGGAGCAAACAGCTCAGTGTCCTCTTTAACGGCCACATATTGTATTTTCCTCTGAGTATAAATATATAAATATACATGTATATATAATGTACTGTAAGGAGCGGTGGTCCGCGGACCACTGGTGGTCCGCGAGGGTACTGCAGGTGGTCCGTGGAAAAAAGCTAAATAAAATCCACTTTTTACTATCAAGGATTTTCGGGGATCACCTCATATGTGACTAGCTCTATCGAAATCAGTCGCATTGACCCGAAGACACATTTTGAGTTGTATACACTGTTGGAAAGAGGAGATTCCTAGCTTTCTAATGATATCAGGCACTGGGGTAGTGTGGTCGTTGGGCTCATCGGACATTTATGAGAGAAAATCTCTAATGTCCGAGTGCAAGTGAATGCACCACAAGACACAAGCCTTGTAACCCCTCCCCCGGCCCTGGCGCGAGCGTGGAAATATGATTGGCGGCGATTTCATTTGAACTGGACGGCGCAAAACGAGAAGCATCCGGACCCAAGTACTGTACACGGAAGGAACGAGGTATTTGAAGTCTACAATGACAGAGAAGAGACTGTCAAGTTTGGCTGTAGTCAGCATTGAATCAAAACGCACTAAAGCTTTGGATCTTGATCAGTTTGTGAGGCGTTTTGCTGAACAGATGGTAATCGCTGCATCATAACTGATTGACAGCTGATAGGAATAATATGATTGTTAATATTATCATATTAATTCAGACAAACATCGATGAGACAGTTAATTAATGTACTTATTGCAGCAGTCTGCATAGATTTGGTAGCCCTGGTCCAAGAGTGATACAAACTCATTCAGTTATTGTTCAGTTAAAATGCATTCAATCAGGCCTATGTCTGCCATCTTATATATTTCTATTTAAGGCTTTACTGATGTGCCAAAATAATGTCACCTATGTTGAGTTAAAATGTCAATATTGTGGCTTTCCAAGTTAACATTGATTGATATGACTGCGATTAAATCGCATATACTTCTGCCAGGGGATGCCAGCTCCTCAAAATCCCCTGCCACCCTCTTGCCACCCCATGAATATTTTTCTAGATCCACCCCTGAGTAGGCTATATTTTTCGTTTTGTTTATTTAATAAGTGAATTTCAGGATAACTTTGGGAATTTTTTTGATTTAAATAGATTTTGAAAGTGGAGATAGAGAGAGAGAGAGAGAGAAGCAGCGCTGTCTGCTTGGTTGCAATACTGTTGCTCAAGCCTTTATGCAACTTAGGCCTATACCTTGTTTATGCTACTTATATGCCTGTGTGTCCATGGTTTTGAGTCTGTGTGTGTTGAGCACAGTCTGCTTTTTGCAGTACAGTAACTAAAGTAGGACTAAGCATAGCAGTAGTTTTTTGTAGACCTGTCTGCCCGTTTTGTGAGTGCACTGCGCGCGTGCGCACTTGTGGCATTGTTTGGGATGACCTAATTATAATACCGTCCGCCGTCCTCTTTGAGAAACATACACAACGCAGACAGACACCGGTCACAAAAGTATCAGATAGGCTTCAATTTTCTTTTGATTGTCTATAATTAACTATAAAAAAATATCGCCGTTTTAACACTAAGTTTATATATGTACTTATTTTTACGGTTTGTATATGAGGTGGTCCGCGAAAATCCTTGATAATAAATAGTGGTCCGCATAAACAAAAAGTTTGAGAACCCCTGCTGTAGAGCACATATGTTTAAAAAGCAGGAAATAAAAAAAGGAACTCACCTTGTGATAAACCCGCAAGAGAACACGCATTTGAGCTCCATACTATTTCAGAAATATTCCTTGATGTGGTTTAGAACAGGATGGCGTTTTATCACAGCAGAATTTAACTTTATCTCCGGTAGAATTCTGATCAGGCATTAGCTCCGCCTCCTCTTTTTTTTTTTTAAGCTAAGGACCTATGCTAAGGACCCAAAATCTGCGTTTCTCTAACAGGGCTGCAATAGAGGGGTATGATCAGTAGCTTATGAGGCATGGCTACAATGGGGGATCTGTTTGGTATTTTAAGCAAAAAACTTCACAGACATGTTTTGTATAGGTATGGCCCTACAATATATTTTCCCAATATAGCATAATAGGTCCACTTTAAGTCAGTGTAGCCTGTGGATTGAAACCTTATTTTACATATTTATGTCAACTTACAGTCAAATGTCTTTGTTTGAAAACCACCTTTTTAAAGTAACGTTACTTTAGTTGGTAGAAAAAATGACTAAAATCACACGCCTGTGACTTTCTTTAGGTAGCAAACCAACACCAAAAGGTCAGAAGCACGAACACCTGTCCGCCACCTGCGTAATAACATTCTCCCTTTGTATGTGAAAGAGTGTGCATGCTGAAGGAGGACATTTCAGTGACGCTCACAGGAGAAATGGCACTTTCCGTTAAGTGTTTTTCGCTCCGAAAGGTTGAAAAGATGCTTTCTGTCTGGATAATATGGTGAGCGATGCAGCAGGTGGGCGAGCAGCACAGGAAGGAGCTCTTATGTGGCGGAGCTGGCAGCACTGTGTGAATGTCAAGCTGGCAAAGGAGAGTGGAAATGTGTTGGCTCGAGTTTGTGAGAAAGTCTGTGTGTGTGTGTGTGTGTGTGTGTGATCGCGTGTGGGCCTGTATATAAAGATTAAAGAAAGACGTGGAGAATACAGTCATGTGCAAAAATATAGTGTGTGTGTGTGAATTCAAAATGGGAGAGTGATTATGTGTGTGTGAGTGCAGCAGAATTACAGAAAGAAAGAAAGAAAGGAAGAACGAGGGGGTTACAAGTGGTTGATGGTTTTTGTGTGTGTGTGTGTGTGTGTGTGTGTGTGTGTGTGTGTGTGTGTGTGTGTGTGTGTGTGTGTGTGTGTGTGTGTGTGTGTGTGTGTGTGTGTGTGTGTGTCTGTGTTTGAGAAAGAGAGAGTGTGTGTGTGTGTGTGTG